ACTGGAAAGCCTTTACCCAGCATGGGTCATGCCTTCTCTTCCTAGCCTTCCCCAGATTGTATACGTTAGCCCTCCTCAAGGGGTCAGGAGACCATGTGTGATTCAGGCCAAATTACATACAGTTGGCTGGGAAGAGTGACTGGATACTCCAGTGAGGGTCCAGTGACCCTGCTTGGCCCTCCTTTAATGAATGAGCACAACCATCAACAAGCCCAATTGTGATGATGTTTAGCAATCAGGCTCAGCTGAAGTCATAATGATGGTTATTTCATGCAGAAGAGACAGCTGTACAGCATCATCTTATTAAAAGGACGTGGAATTTAAAAGGATTTGGTGCTAGGATCTACATACGAGGGAGAACAAAGTTGTTCGTTTTTCTGAGTCTGTGTTACTTCACTTAGTGTAACAGTTTGTAGATCCATCCATTTACCTGCAAATTTCATTATTTCCTCTTTCTTTATTGCTGAATAGAACACCATTGTGTAAATATACCACATTTTTGTTAACCATTCATCAGATGAGGGGCACTTAGGTTGCTTCCTTAGCTATTGTGAAAAGAGCAGCAACAAACATGGTTGTACAAGTGTCTCTACAATAGGATGAGACCTTTGGGCATATGCCAAGGAGTGGTATAACCAGGTTATATGGTAGATTCATTTTTAGTTTTTTAAGAGTTCTCCACACTGTTTTCCATAGAGGCTGCATGAGGTTGCAATCCCACTAGCAGTGAATGAATGTTCCTCCTTTTCCACATTCTCACCAGCATTTGGTATCATTTGTTCTCTTGATCCTAGCCAGTCTGATTGGGTTAAGGTGATACCTTATGGTGGTTTAAATTTGCATTTCCCTAATTAACGATGTTGAACACTTTTTGAGATGTTTCTTAGTCATCTTTATTTCTTCATTTGAGAACTCTCTGTTTAAATCTTTAGCCCATCTTTTAATTGGGTCATTTGGTTTCTTGAGTCTTTGTTTTTTTAGTTCTTTATATATTCTGTATGTTAAACCTCTGTCAGCTGTGTCACTGGTGAAGATTTTTTTCCCACTCTGTGGGTTTTCCATTCACTTTTTTTTATTGTTTCTTTTGCTGTACAGAAGCTTTTTAGTTTAATGAGGTCCCGCTTGTTGATAGCTGATCTTAATTCCTGAGCAACTTCTGATTTAGAAAATCTTTTCCTACACCTATAGCTTGTAAGTTACTGCCAATATTTTCTTCTAATAGTTTTAGGGTTTCCAGTTTCACATTAAGGTCTTTGATCCATTTGGAGTTGACTTTTGTGAAAGGTGAAAGATAAGGATCTAGTTTCATTCTTCTACAGGTGGAGAGCCAGTTTTGCCAGCACCATTTGTTGAAGATGCTGTCTTTCCTCCATTGTGTGTTCTTGGCACCTTTGTCAAAAATCAGGTGACTGAAATTGTGTGTACTCGAGTTTGGGTCGTCAACAATGTTCCATTGATGTATGTGTCTGTTTTTGTGCCAGTACCATGCTGTTTTTATGACTATAGCTCTGTAGTATGCTTTGAGATCTGGTATAGTAATCCCCCCAGCGTTGCTCTTTGTGCTCAGGCTTGCTTTGGCTATCCGGGGTCTTTTGTGCTTCCATACGAATTTAAGGATTTTTTTTCTAGTTCTGTGAAGTATGTCATGGGGATTTTGATTGGGATTGCCTTGAATCTTTATATTGCTTTTGGTAGGATGGTCATTTTCACAATATTAAGTCTTCCAATCTATGAGCATGGGAAGCTTTCCATCTCCTGGTGTCTTCCTCAATCTCTTTAACAATTTAAAATTTTCATTGTAGAGATCTTTGGTGTCTTTGGTCAGATTTATTCCAAGATTCTCTATTTTTTTTTTCAGCAATTGTGAATGGGAGCATTTCCCTATATTCTTTCTCCAATTTCTTGTTATTGGTATATAGAAAGGCTGCTGATTTTTGTAGATTGATTTTATAACCTGCCACTGTTCTGAAAGTGTTGATCAGTTCTAGGCATTTTCTGGTGGAAATTTTGGGATCTCTTAGGTATAGTACCATATCAACTGCAAAAAGTGATTTTTATTTTGTCTTTTTGAGGCAGGGTCTCCCTGTAGCCACAGCTGTCCTGTAAGTCAGTATGTAGACCAGGCTGGCCTTGAACTCACAGAGGTCTGCCTGCTTCTGCCTCCCAAGTGCTGGGACTACGGGGAAACATCACAACAGACACCAGAAAGATACAGAACATTATAAGAGAATACTTTAAAGACCTATATGCTGCTAAATTTGAAAACCTAAAAGAAATGGATGGGTATCTAAAAGCATGGGAACCACCAAAGTTAAACCAAGAAGAGATGAACAGTTTAAACAGACTTATAACACACAAGGAAATTGAAACAGTAATACAAAGCTTCCCAACTAAAAAGAGTCCAGTCCCAGATGGATTTACAGAAGAATTCTCTGAGACATTTAAAGAAGACCTCCAATCAATACTACTTAAATTATTTAAAATGTTAGAAACAGAGGGAGAACTCCCAAATTCTTTCTATGAAGCCAGCATCACTCTAATATCCAAACCAGGTAAAGACACAACCAAAAATGAAAACTGTAGACCCATATCCTTAATGAACATAGATGCAAAAATTCTCAACAAAATACTTGCAAACCACATACAGACACACATCAAAAAGATCATTCGCCATGATCAAGTAGGCTTTATTCCAGAGATGCAGGGATGGTTCAATATATGCAAATCAACAAACATCATATAAATGGACTCAGACAAAAACCACAGCATTGTCTCAATAGATGCAGGAAAGCCTTTTGACAGAATTCAGCATGGATTTGTTCAAACTCCTAGAGGGAATTGGATTGGAGGGAACATACCTCAACATAATTAAAGCCATACACAACAGACCCACAGCCAGCATCATTCTAAATGGAGAAAAACTGGAAGCATTCCCATTAAAATCAGGAACCAGACAAGGATGTCCACTATCTCCACTCCTTTTCAACATAGTGCTTGAAACTTGCTAGAGCCATAAGACAGGAGAAGGAAATTAAAGGAGTACTAATTGGAAAAGAAGAGGTCAAACTATCACTTTTTACAGATGATATGATACTATACCTAAGAGATCCTAAAAGTTCCACCAGAAAACTCCCTAGCAACCTTTAGTTGAGATATTACTAAGCCACATTATACCTGAATAAAGAATCAGCCTGACTCAGCATTAAGGCCAAGAGCGGACCCGAACTCAGAATCCCCCATTCTTCTGATATCTCACAGAACTGTGTTCCTAAGCCAGGCCTCACCCATACTTTCATTAAACAGTCTCTCCAGCATGAATTGGGGGACTACAAGCTTAGGTCCACCCTTACCAGAGAATCGTGCCCTTTGATCCCTAGGCCTCAAATGTCTCATATATACAATGTCAAGCATTCTTCTCAACTCTCACTGCATCTGATGAGAATATGAAATGAATCTGCTGCTTTCTGCACTGTGATGTGTTAATTTAAGCATAGCAACACACATTCACTATCTTGGGTGGAGGGCAAAGTGGGGTCTCCCGGGATCAAGGTCAGGTACCCGGGTCACAAGAGCACATGGCTCAGTGAGCTTGTTTGCATTATAAACAGCTTCTGGGTACAAGGTTAAGTAAATGTCATTAATGCAGATTCTATCCAAACTGTAAGTCATTCCTACTTAGTAACTCCCTTTTGGTGAGTGAACACATCCTGAAATAGAATCGTGAAACTAGAGGACATGGCCAGATCCAGACTTAACCAGTTTGGGGTACATGTGCAATAAGACAGATTTTGTCCTTAAAATTTTAGGGGAAAACCCCTATTTGCCCTCTTATGCCTATGCACAATTGGCATATAATTAAAATAAAATGCATCATGGGAAAGGACATGCTCAGTGAACTAAGGCTTATATAACCCAAGACCATCAATTAAAACCAAAAGGCGGACCACCTACACCTTACTCCTAGCAAGCAACTCCTCCTGGATCCAGAAAGGAAGACAGCCTGGGTAGTAGTCAGGGCCTCTTGGCCACTCTAGCCCAAGTAGCCTGTTACTGTTTTGCAGTGTATCTGGCCTATACTGTCACTTTGCTTTAGAATAAAATTCCTTCCACTCTCCTATCTGTGTCCATCTTCAAGTTTTTGAACAAGATGCTTAGATCCTAGAAATACCCAGTCCAAACAGAGATACCTGGTAAGAGATGGGTTCAAATCCCAGCCCTACCTGGACAGCCTGTATACATCGCTTAAGTTTTATGGAGATAACAAATGATCACTCATAGGACAGTTAATGCAGACTAAATGAATTCATTCATCTAAGCATGGTAGCACAGCTTGGCACAGTAGAGTTAAGCTGTAGTTAACATTCTATAGTCATTAAGTCTTAGAAAAAATTACACTTATAAAGCATGTAGATTCTCAATCCAAATCTCCAATATTCTGGCTCTTGGGGGTAGGTGCCATACTCTAAGGACAGCGAGACATGCAAGTCCTAGACTCTGGTTGTATCTCCACTGTGACTTCCAGCTCCACCTCTACTAGGTCTCCACTCTTCTTTAGGGGGATCTTTAGATATGGATTATTTTCATAGGACAATTTTCTGCTCTATCATTGGTTCCATTCCCTCCAGATAATTTTTTTAAAGCCAGGATGAGCTCAGTTAACACCAAGAGGACCCAAGAAACAAAATGCTAGTCCCCAAACCAGCTTGTGTGCAGGTCAGGAGATGGGTGGAGGGATAGCTTATGTGTTTGGGCCTGAATGGAATGGGAGCAGATGTCTCTCAGGAGCAGAGCTGTCACCTCTGCTGGGGGTTGTGAAGAGCTGTTAGGGAGAGCTTTCTTCTACCAGACTCTGGGTCACCTTGTTGAGAGTTCCTAGCCTGCCTCGGCATAGCTTGCTCCCTGCTCACAGGCCCTCTCTCCATCAAAGACTTGTCTTCCTAAGGTGGTCTGCTCTGGCAGCTCCATGTTGACCTGTTTCCTTCCTCCCTTCCTTCCCTCAGATCAGATCTTCCAGCTCCTTGGACCTCATCTTTCATCTCCTGCACCTGTCTTGGGGACTGCATTGATCAAGCGTGAACTGCACAGCTGGCCCACCATGAACTGGAAGGTGAGAAGAATTTTAAACATGTATAGCTTGCTTGCTTTCCTCTCCACGTTTTATATCTGTCATGATAATGAAATATCTGAGATTAGCTGGTTTATTTAGCTCATGGGGGTCTGGAAATTCCCATCTAAGAGCTTTGTTCTGAACCTGTTGACAGGTGGCGGTGACAGGGGACAGTGGTAGATAAAGCTTCTCACGTAGGAGCCAGTGTGCAAAAGTGGAAGAAGAGACAGTGAAGTCCCAGGGTCCCCTTTGCAGATGCACTTCCAGTGACCTAAGGACCTCCCTCCCAGAAGGCCCCACTCCCTGAAGACCCAGCACTTTCCAGTAGCACCACTCTAGACACCAAGTCATGGGTTTGAGGGGTATTGTATATGTGAGCCATAGCATTCATGGTTGTAAAAAAATTAAGAATAACAGTTCTGTAGCAATCGAACAAGTTTTTATTAATTTTGCTCTTTTGCAGTTTCATCCGTGTATATAATGTATTCTGAATAACTTGTACCCCAGCCTTTCTAATCTCTCCCACTCCTGTCCACTCCCTCTTCCCTACAAGGCCCTCTCCCTCAGTTATGTCTTTTTCTCTTGTTTCGTGACCCACTGAGTTTAACCAGGGCTGTCTGTGTCACCATGGATTTGTAACAATCCACGGAACCTGGTGAGCATAGAGCAATTTAAAAAAAAAAGCTACACAAAAGTATAGTTATATTTGATGTTTTGTTTCAAATTAAAGCTTGCAAATTTACATGTGTTTACCAGCTTCTGGAAGGGTAAACCTTTCTTGATGTGCGTTCACTACCATCAGAGCCACCTCACCTCACTTTTCTTGCAGAAACCAGGCCTCTGATGCTTCCTTTAGTGCCCCGCATTCTTGTTTCTTTAAAGTGGATGCAGTGGGTGAAACTTTGTGGGCCCCAAATTTGGGCCCCAAATTCATACGTTGCACTTGAACTCTAGTGTGATGGTATTTGGAGGTGGCACCTGTGGAAACTGATTAGGTCATAAGAGTGGCACCCTCCTGAGTGGGATTACTGCCTGTGATGGTTGCTCTCATTATCAAACTGATGAGATCTAAAATCATCTGGGAGATGGGTCTCTGGGGCCATTCTCTCGATGAGGTTAATTGAGGTATGAAGACCCTGCCCACTGTGGGTGGCACTTTCCCCGGGTTAGGATCCTGGACTGCTTTGTTTTCTGTCTCCTGCTGTTGATATGATGTGATCAGTCACCTCAAGCTGCTGCCACAACTTACCACCATGATGTCCTGTATCCTGTGAGCCAAAACCAATAAACCCTTCCTTCCTTAGGTTGCTTTTGTCAGGATGTTTTATCACAGCAACAGAACGCTTTCTCACCCTCTTTCTGTCAGGAGGACAGAAGGAAGTCTGCAGTACAGCCCAGAAGAGGCCCTCCATTAGAACATGACCATGCTCTAGTAATCTCAGACCTCAGCCTCCAAAGCTGAGAGGAATAATCCTCTGTTGTTAATAACTCTGACATACAAGCCTGAATTGACTGAAACAGTAGATTAAGATTTCAGGAAGCAATCTGTGTACAAAACCTTGCAGATTTGTATGATCCTCTTCCATAATCCTGTATTTTCTAAGACCATTTTCTTTTTCTATCAAACTTGAGTCTCACAAAGAATTCAACTCAGGTTTCATGGAAACAACCTGTTTTTAAGTTATAAACAAATTACCTATTAGAACATCAAGGACAACTTGAACTAAATAAATATGAAGATCTATAAAATGTGAGGTTCAGCTGTTGGGAGTTCAGGGACAGCAGAACCAGCCTATTAGCTGGTTCATTTGGTGAGTTGTGGCAGCAGCATTTTTAGAGACAAGGGAGAGCATCTGTTTAAATGTCTAAAGCCAGTGGAGGTTGGTGAAGAGGACAGCACTTCGCCAGGCAATGGTGCACACCTGTAATCCCAGCACTCAGGGAAGACCAGGAGTTCAAGACTAGCCTTGACTACATAGAGAATTTGAGGCCAGCCTGGGCTACATGAAACCCTGTCTCAGAAAACAGAGTAACCACTGAAAGAAATCTTTATTGTAGCCACTTTGAAAAGTACAAAGTCAAATAAAAATTGTATGCCACCTCACCATCCAGATGTGGATGCTATTAATTCTGGTATGTCTCCTTCCAATATATGAAAATGTAGTATATTTCAAGTATAGGATCTTAATTTTTTTCAGTTATTATAAGCCTTTTCTTACTCAGAACATTCAGTGACTTTCACTTGCAAGAATAACTGGTAAGTTTCTCCCCCAGCTCTGTGGTGGGCAGGGCTTCAGGACCCCAGAACCCCTTCAGAAGGACTGAGGGACTCACCTCCCTGGGAACAGCCCTGTTGATATTAAGACACAGAGTGTGTTCTGTGAAGGGGATGACCATGTGAGAGTTTGTTGAGAATGCATTTGGGAGCCAGAAGTGGCAGTGGAACGATCCAGAAGGAAAATCGAGACAGAAGGTATAAGGGGAAGAAGCTAAATGTAGTGTGGAGTGTGGATTTGGGGCGTTTTGACTCACCACGGTGGCTTGGGGAGAAAGAGTGAGAGGCAGTGCTAAACCATATCAGCCAGGTTGTGAGCATGAGTGGGCCTCACACTTGACAAGTGTGTTTTGTGGACTAGTCACAGAGTGATTGCAGGACCCACTCCCAGGGCTTCTGCTTAAGGAGGTCTGAATGGAGCCCAGAAGTTTGCATTTTTTCCAAATTCCTGTGTCTTAAGGCCTCCCAGACCAATCCTACTTGTGTCAAAGGGAGTCTTTGCCTGTATTAGGAACAGAAGCTGCTCAGACCTTCCCAGCTCCAGGTAGACATAGTACCATGGCCTTCGGGGAGCAGAATCATGTTTAAAACTGGTCTTTTCTTCTTAGTGTCAGCAATAAATGGCCTTTTTCATGCCCCAATGGCAGAAAGCTCCAGGAAACTGAAGGAATTGTGTAGTCCCCAGTGCAACCTGTAGCCTCTGTGGCTCTGTGGACTGAGGCTGGCAGGTCACACTGCCTGTGGAAAAGCAAGTACAGCCTCGTTATTCTTAACAGTCCACCATTTTCTTGTCACGGGTTAGGGTTATGTTTTTAAAAATGAGCATTGATCTTGGGCTGGGGAGTTGGCTCAGTTGGTAAAGTGCTTGCTGGGTAAGCATGAAGACCTGAGTTCAGATCCCCAGCACCCACCCAAAAAACTGGGTGTGGCAGCCCATACCTGTAACCCCAGTACTGGGCATGGGTAGTTGCAGAGATAGGCAGATCCTAGGGACTTTCAGGCCAGCTAGTTTAGCCAAAACAGTGAGCTCAGGTTCAGTAGAGATCTTGTCTCAAACAATAAGACCGAGAATGAGAAAAGATTCTCAAAGTCAACCTCTGAACCTCTGGCTTCCACATGCACACACAGGCAAGCATACCTGTACACAGATGTGTGTACACATGCAACACACACACACACACACGCACACGCACATGCACACTCACACACACGCAGGGGGTGTTGCTCTTACCCATATCAACAATAGTCATTTCCTCCCTGCAGCTCTGTGTATTTTAAAGGTGAAAGGAGCTTGCTAAAAAGAAAGATCGGAGGGAAATTGAACCCAGCTGAAGCCCAGTAGTCTGGAAGGGGCAGGAAAGGGGCAAACTCCTTAGCCCTGTAGTGCCCTTGACCTCTGCTGGTATTGCTCTCCTGCCCGCTCAGGCCGGAAACTTCTCCCTCATGCCTCTTCCTCTCCAGTCTCTATGAAAGAAAATAAATATCAAAACCACTTCACCTGTGTCTATCAGTTGCATTTCCTTTTCAAGTTGGTTTCTAACTTCCTGTTGAGATAACATATTCCTCAAGTTTCGAACGGGGGCTTGCCTGTGGAGAACCACGCACTATAATGTGGGCCCCATCATACTAGGGCCCCAGAGTACATCTGCAGAGATGAGAAACCTCGAAGACGGCACCTTGTTCAGAGCGAGTCGGTTTCAGCCAGCCTGGAATAGCCTAGTCAACTTAGGGAGGTTTATATGGCAACATGGCACATCCTCCACCTAGTTTGTGTACATGAAGTCAAGAGTTTGCCCTTGGAATGTGAACCTTCAGGAAAGAAGCGTGAGAGGCTTATGGGGGCCAAGGGGGTAGGCCTCAGGTCTTAGGAGGAGGCATGTGACAGCCACATCAGCAGTCTGAGCTGTTCCTCTTGCAGGGTAAATGTCCACCATACTCCTTTGTCCTGTTGTCCCTTGTTCCTTCAGGAGCCTGGGCTGTGTTTGATCTTTACTCTTAAGATGATTTAGTGGTTGGAAACTTAACTGAGTTTCTGTTTTAGTTAAAACAGTTGAGTGTTTGAGTTCTTTTACCCTTGGTGTTCATTACATTATCTAATTATACAACGTCTTCCTCAGAGATTTTCAGACATCCATATCTAATGGCTCAGTAATTTCTGAGGTAGTGAATCCTGTTGCCTTTGACAAACTCAGTAGCCGAGCTATTGCTGACTGGCATGACTGCACTGTAGAACTGATGGGAATAGGAGCACAGGATGTGTGCTACCAGGCATCGGGTCGGAGCGGTCAGAGCTGCATCAGACCGTTCTTCGCCAATCACTGACCTTTCCGTAGTTACATTTCTTAACTCCTCCGTCAGAACTGCTTGCCCGTCTCATGGGGCTGAAGCAAAGGTGAAAGGAGACAATCCACAGAAGGTTCTAGGTCACAGGAAGTTTCTAGTACATAGCAACTGATGCTCCATCTTCTAAATGTAAAACCCACACCTAAGAAAGACAAAGAATTGAGATGCAGTGGGAGGGATGTTTACCTGGATAGATGGAATCGGGAGGGAGGCTGGCCTCTTCCTGAATGTGCTGGCTGGACCTTTTGGCCTCTATGGGCTTGGCTTTCTGTGTTTGAAAATGAAATAATAGACTAGGTCATCTTCAACATCCCTCCATCCTTCATCTCTGTGAGCATTTTCTTTGCAGCTAGCTTCCACTAAACAATTTCATATCAGCCTTAGGTGGGCCAACAGAGGAGGGTCACATGTAACTCGTTTTATTGGTGTTACCTGTAGTAAGTGATGTTTGCTAATTTAACCTGATTTCATTGGAATAAGTTCTGCCCAATCCACTAAGCTACAAATGTCTTTTACTTTATTTGGGAAGAAATTTTAATCGTGCAAAAAGCCCATAATAACTTGAGTCAGAGTAACCATGTTTATGAAACTAGTATTTGCTTTGAGAAACTCTAGTGAGATATAGAATTTCATAATAAAACCTGGTGTGGAGAGGATGATTCCTCAGACTTCTCTTTATCTAATAGGCTAAAACTTTCCTCCAATAGGAAATTATAGGGAGAGTTGATAAGTGCTTCTCCCTTCTAGCTCTAATGCTAATGAGTCTCAGAACCAAGATGAATTCAGTTGTACTAAAGCTGGAGAAGGGGTAAAAGCTTGGAAAGGTAGGTGCCAGTGAGTGGCAGAGCAGGCCTACCATCATCCTGCCGGCTATTGCTTCACCCGCCCACGTGCTGCCTTAGAAGCAGGGCCCTGAGGGATCCACAGTTGAATTAAGTAGTGAAAGACCTGACCCGTTTCACCCTAAGTTGATGGCTGTTCCCCTCTGTGAAGTCAGGAGCAAGGGGACAATGAAGGCAGAAGGGGACCTTGTCTGCTTGGCCCTTGTTCTGTTTCCTTTTGGTGCCGAGATAAAACATTCAGACCAAAAGCAACTTGAGATGGAAAGGGCTTATTAGGCTTATACCTTCGGGTCCCAGTCTGTCACTGGGGAAGTCATGGCAGGAACTCGGGGCAGGAACCTGGAGACAGAAACCACGAAGGAACACCGTGTGCTGGCTTGCCCTCCTGCTCACGCAAGGCTCATCTTTAGCTGGCTTCCTTTCTTTTTTATTAAGATTTGTTTTTTATTTTCTGTGTATGAGTGTTTTGCCCGCATTGTATGCACATTTACTGTACATGGCCTAGAAGAAGAGGGCAGCAGATCCCCTAGAACTGGAGTTATAGATGGTTGTGAGCTGCTGTGTGGGTGCTGGGAACCAAACCTGGGACCTGTGCAAGACTAGCCAGTGCTCTAAACTACTGAGCCTGCTCTCCAGCTTAGCTAGATGTCTTATACATCCCAGGACCACTTGCCTGGGGATGGTGCTGCTCAAAGTGGACTGGGCTCCCCTTCATCAATTAATGATCAAGACAATCTCCCAACGGACATAGTACAGGTCAATTTGATCTAGGCAACCCCTCAGTCAAGGCTTTCCTCTCAGATGACACTAGGCTGTGTCAAGTTGACAAATATAGTAACTAGGACACCAGTATAGCCCCGGCACATAGCCTCATGCTTGAAACATAGTAGGTGCTCAGTAAACAATGTTGATTGAAGGAACATGGAAGAAACTAGCCACATCACTGCAGAGCACTTAGAATGTCTTTCTTCTTGAAGGCTCTTGAACACGTGCCCCTGCTGCTGTATGTCCTGGCAGCCAAAACGCTGATTCTCTGTCTGGCATTTGCGGGAGTGAAAGTATACCAGAGGAAAAGATTGGAAGCCAAACAGCAAAAACTGGAGGCTGAAAAGAAGACGCAGATGGAGAAGAAAGATGACTGAAGGGAAATCGCAGGTGCGGAGGCTTTGTGAGTGGAAAGTATCAGGGGTTGCGCAGGCCAGCCAGCCAAGGTGCGGTCTCTCGGAGATCTCTGCATCTCTTGGGTCTGAAAGGCTTTGCGGGGATGTGGGGGCCCACCGCTGCTCTAAGGGAGAACTTCCTTTGAGAGCAGCGGGGCTCAGAGCCTGACCTGACCGTTTGCCCTTTGCATGCTGAATACCAGTCCTCTCTGCTCTGAACCTGCTGTGCTTCTTCATGGGGCTCTGGGGGAAGCTCAGAACCCGACTGGTGTGACGCCAGCTACAGACCTTTGTTCCAGAGAAGCCCACGTGCTAAAAGGCAAGCTGTAGTGCGTGAATCCGCTGACATGCGTGTAGGAGAAGATGGAAACTCACAGGTCATTTGAAAGCCCGAGATTAAGGAACCCTGTTATCTTCAGGGTAAAGTCTGACTTCTCGATATGGCAGATAATCCCTTCTCCATCTGTCCTTAGCCTGGCCAGACCTCGGTTGCCCCTGCGCAGTCCACGCCTGCGCTCCTGCAGGCTGTTCTGGATCATGGTGACTTATCACACCCCAGTGTCCTAACTAGCAGGTCCTCCCTGACAGCTGCTCCCTAGGCATGCGGCTTGCATATCGCTGTAGCTGCGCCTCTCCGTGCGTGTAGGAGGGTCTGGAGCATGCTTATGGGGGTCAAGACTCAAGGCTCCAGGAAGCTATTATTAAGGCGGTGACACAGATTTAACATGCTCACTGAGTTTTGTGTTTTGATCTAGTTTTTTATTTATCAGGTTGGGCTCTGGGCTTCTCTAAATATCAGAGGATTCAAATTTGATAGGTGGGGATTTTAGATCAGTAGTTCCTAAACCCAGCTAAGGATCAGAATTCCCTGTTAAGAACACAGCCTCCCAGGCTTCAGCCTTAGGAGAGTATGCCTTCTCCTGAGTACCCTCTGGGCAGTTGTTCTTTTGAGCACCGGGACCCACATGGTAATAGAACTGACTCCTGCAAGTTGTCTTCTGACCTCCACATTCGGTGGCACGGATTCTCTCTCTCTCTCTCTCTCTCTCTCTCTCTCTCTCTCTCTCTGTAATAAAAGAAGGGTGAAGAAAGATTTTAATTGGAATGTTGATTGGATTGATATTCTAAGCTGAGTCATGACTTGTGTGTTCTGAGAAGATGAGAAGATAAGATGACATCATAGGTGCCCTTCCTTCTAGCAGATGTCACTGAGCCAACAGGGTTGAAATGGCTGTGTGCACAGCCCATGCCAAACTGGCAAGGGGAGTCAGCCTTCTTCCCAGGCTTACAGCTTGTCCAGACAGGAGCTTTGCTTCAAAGAAATGAATCTTCGGATGGAAAGAAAATTGTAGTGCCAGAAACGCATTGTTCGTGGATGAACTTGAGTGGCTTCCATTTGTCAGGTCCAAATGCCCAAACACTTACTGTTGAGCACGGAAAGCGTCGGCTACTATTCCATCAGATCTTTCCCACTTAGCTCTTTGGTCTTTCTTTCTAGATTTTGCTATTTAAATGTCAGCTTGGGTGGACTCCAGCTGAGAAAACAGAAGAAAGACTAATGGCTGAATGTCAGAGGATCAACTTCCGACCTACATTTTAACTTAAAATAATGAATAATGTGAGTTTTTATATGCTTTTAGAAAAACTAGTATTTTGTTTACTAAAATAAAATACCTTTGTAAAAAAGCCTGTGTTTGGTCTTGGGGTCTCTTTCTGTCTCTCTGTGCCCCCCCCACACACACACGCAGAGGCATGTGCGTTATGAGAGGAGGGAGTTTTGCAAACCCCTCTCCTTGGCTCTTCCTGACTGTGTGGAGCACATTTGCTGTGGTGGCAAATCTCAGGTGCATGTGCACTGATGCCCAGGTCACAGAGTAGCACCTGCTGCAGGGGACCGGGATCCCAGCAGTGGAGGCCTCAGCCAGCTGGCCCCCACTCCCTGCTGCACTCCCGCACTCTCCTTCGAATGCAGAGTGTTTCCAAGGTCAGTGTGTCTATACCATTAGGGAGGCTGTGTGCTTATCTAGGGCAGAGTCATAAGAGCTGGCCCCTGTGCTGGCCTAGGAGGGCCTATGTGGGTGAAGAACAGGGTGAAGGCCATAGGCGATCTTAGTTGCTAAATCTAGGAAGAGTGGCAAGGTGGCTTAGGCTTGTAACCCTAACGCTTGGGAGGCTAAGGCAGGAAGATTGCCAAAAGTTTGAGGCTAGCCTGAACTTCAGAGTGAGACCTATCTCAAAAGCCAAAACAAGACAAGGCAAAATTAAAACAAAAAACAATAAACTTCCTGAGTCCTTTTGAAAGGCTTAAGAGACACCCTGGGCCAGGCTTTGTCCTCTCCCACCCCCTGAAGGGAGGGGCCCCTCACAGGGGACTTCCCTATTTGAGGGAGGAGAGTGGTGAGCTTCACTCGCTGAGGTCTCTATAAATGCTCCACTATCACTTCTTTGTAGATACCAAAGTGGATAGGGAATGAGGAAGCAGTAAGCAGGCCTTGAGTGCTGGGGGACGCTGGGCTCATTGTAGGTGGACACATGGAAAATTTGCAGGAGTGTGTGCTAACAGATGTAAGCCAGCCTGGCCCACTTGGGTAGAACACAGGAAGTCAGGGAATTGCATCTCTTTACATTTTTACTGATTGAGGAATGATCCTAACTACTACTTAGAAAGTAGGAAAGACTCACAGGATTAGAGATCCAAGTTCAGAATGGATCTTGAGCTCACAAGGGGCAAATTTTAAAACAGGCAAAAGAGGATGTTCCTTGAAAAGCTCTACCTTACTTCCCCCCCCCCCCGCTCCCCGCCATGTGCTGCTCCAACCTTTGCCTCTTTGCCTGGGAGACAGCCCTGGTGACCTCCTCTTTGAGCATCCCCACTGTGGCCCAGGAGTACCCTTATACTGAATGGATGAGCAGAGGCCAAGGCTTTGGATTCTGTGGGTCTGCCTAAATGTTGCTCACACCTGACCCTGGACACATAGCCAACCCCTGTTCTTCTGTCAGGGCCTCTCTGCAGCCTACCAGGAGAATTCCCCTATTCTGGGCCTCTGCCTGCTGCTCGAGTTGCAGGGCTAGAACACTGCCAGCTCCCAACATGTCTGGTCTCAGACTCGGGCCCCTAGACACCACTTTTCCCCACTCCCCCCACCTACCTGCCTCCTACGTTCAAGATAGAGAGCTCCAGTGGCTTTCCCTAGAGAATCCAAGTCTTCCTGAGCAGCAGATACCTACTTGTTTTAAATATACCTTTCTGGACGTCCTATCTTCATTTCAATTGCTGTGATAAAATATCCCAGCAAAAAGCAACTTTATGGAGAAAGGGTTCATTTTATGTCACACTTCCAGGTTCTACCTGTTCACTGCAGGAAAGTCGCAGAGACAGGAGTCTGAAGTTCATATCACATTCACAGAGCCGAGAAAAATGAATGCGTGCACACTCATGTGTTTGTTTACACTTAACTCGATTTCTCCTGTACAGTTCAGGACCCCCTGCCTAAAGAATTGTGCGGCCCACAGTGGTCTGGGTCTTCTCACATCAGTTAATTTAATTAAGACAATATCACAAGGACATGCCCCCAGACCAACCCATTGTAGACAGTCCCTCATTGGGACTCTCCAGGTAATTTAGGTTGTTAAGTTGACAATTAATGCTAACCACCGTGCTGGGTTTTGGGATTTAAAACTCATCTTTTTACTTTGTGGAACATCTAGCTATCTTCTTGAAAAGTTTGGTGGAAGATGTCCTAATGGTTGTGCTAAGCCATTCTCTCCCCTATGGTTTTTCTGTAAGGTCTTTGCTTTTTTCTCTTACCTTTCCTATGCTCTCTTCCGCCACTAGGGGGAGATGGTTACTCACTCATTGCAGTTACAGATAGCTAAATGAAGTCTGGACATCTGTAGTTTGATGGCTGGAAGTAGATAGGCAGGCACATTGAAGTTCACAGCTAAGAGCCCCGTCGGGACCTCAGGCAGCCAGCAGCTGATGAGAGTAACCGAGGAAGCAGACTTAGAAAGGGGGTAACCACCCCTGGGGTGACAGAAAGGTCACTAAGACCATCAACTGAAACCCATGTTCTCTCCCTATGAGGTCCCCAAAACCCCTCACAGAGATCCCAGTTTATCTCACATGCAACCCTAACGTGTCTACTTGACTGTCAAGCTTGCAACACGTTAGAAGCAGGAAGGTGAAAAGGCTATTGGGGGCAGACATACCTTTAAGCAAGAGAGCAAGTTGATCAAGCCTGAGAGCTGCAGTTAACAGCCATGCCAGGCACCCATGTTATGGTGACCTTAGACAAAAGAGGTTAAAAAGCTTCATGAACTCAGGTTAAGGAGGCAGAGAGGCACATGATGTGTTTCAGAAATCAAATCACTGGGTTATTTAGAGGGGCTTCTCTGTCCCTAAGCTTTGCTCAAGTTCTGTGGAGGGAAACTGATATCCAGTGACTCATTCTTAAAGACCCAGATGCCTGGGACTGGGTGTACTGCATCTCAGCCTAGATTTATCCGACGAACGTTCCTAAGTGATGTTCGGCACTCTGTGCCGAGTCCCAGGGTACAGAGACGGGAGGTGTCCATGTTTGAACTTGGGGAGCCTAAGCTCTGCTGTCAGGAACATATGAATGGTACAGGTGGACTGGGGTGCTTCCTGCTATACCAGAGATCAGCTCCCTAGTATGGAGCTCAGCTATGGCTGGTCTGTGCTGGAGTGAAGCCAGAAGGAAGCCAGGAGAGTGGTACTAAGGCAGAATCTAGAGATGAAAGAGAATGAGGATGGGAGTCCGGGCTGGTCAGATCCACAATGGCTTCAGGACCTGGAAGAGAGGTGGGAGACTTGTGGTTCAGACACTCCCAGAACGTATCATCTCTCTGCCTCTAATCTTTAGTAGGGCCCCTTTGAAGTCTGTGGCCTCTTTAACCCTTTCGTAGGCATTCTGTAACCTGCACATACACATATATAATTACTGTGTGATATGTACTGTGTGATCTGAGAGTAATATTAGTAATTAAGATTGGGATAAACGTGTTTGCCAGTGACCAGCTTATCAAGGGAAATTTGGAACACTTCAAATTGCGGCCAATGAAACTAATATAGCTTCTAAGTTTGTTGTTATTCAATAAACTCAGACACATATGCCCATCTATAGTTTTGTTATTTCATACCCCTGACAATTGGTCTGGTCTGTTGGGGACCAAGGCCAGGAACTTAATCCAAAACAATGGCCTCCCATCTTTTTTTTTTTGTCTTTTTGAGACAGCTGTCCTGGAACTCACTATGAAGACCAGGCTGGCCTCGAACTCACAAAGATCTGCCTGTCTCTGCCTCCCAAGTGCTGGGATTAAAGGCCACGCCTGGCAGCCTCCCATCTTTTCAACACTAGGTAAGCCACAGACTGCATGTCTCTGCCTGGGTGGGCCTTCCTCTTCCTCTAAGATGAACCTGCCCTCTTTCTCTGTCCCACCTCTTCCAGAAACTCTGCCATAAGTCCTCAGCACCTGGCCTGATGAGTCCTTGCTGCCCAAACCTCTCACACCTTGCTGATCACTGAACTGTGACTTCCTGGGGCATCCAGACTTAGTCTTCTTCATAACCCCAGTCTTGGCCCACATTGCTGGGCATATAGAAGGCACTGGAATGTTTGATGAGCGCATGACTGAAGACACCAAAGGCAGGGGAGCGGGGAGTGTGGCCAAGCCCGTTGTAGTGTCCTCGCTCCTTCTCTATAGAGATAAATCTGAGTTTTCCTAGCCATATTACCACAAAATTAAAGACTGCATTTCTGGAGCTGGAGAGATGACTCAGTGGTTAAGAGCATTTTCTGCTCTTCCAGAGGACCCCAGTTTGGTTCCCAGTACCTGTATCAGGTGGCTCACAACCACCTGTACTCCAGTTCCAGGGGGTCCAATGCCCACTTCATGCTGCCACTGGCACCTGCACTCTGGTGACAGACACATACACATAGATAAAAATAAAAGAAATCTTAAAAATAACACTGTGTTTCTTAGCTTCCCTTGTCTGGCCAATCAAGTTTAAGTGATATGTGTTAGGACTTTCTGAAAGGCTCCTTAAAAACATGAGATGCAAGGCTGGAGAGTTGGCTCAGAGGGTAAGAGCACTTTCTGCATGAGGACCTGAGTTCAAATCCCCAGCATCCACATTAGTAAAACAGATGTAGCCATACATGCCTATAACCCCAGTGCTGTGGAAAGGGGCAGAGACGGGTAGATCACTGGATGACAGCCTAGCTCCAGTTCCAGTGAGAGACCCTGCCTCAGAGAAATAGAGTGTGATAGAGCAGGTCACTCAGTGTCCTCCTCTAGCTCCATGCACACACATGCATGCTACATGTACACATATAACACACATGTGCATGCACACACACAATGAAATGAACCTTCTTTTTTCCTTTCTGGCTGGAATTACCAATGCTGTGGCTTGTCCAGGCCTTAAAGCTAAACTAGCAGGTAGCTTTAAGGCCTGAACCAAGTCTAGGGCAGTGATGATAGGACCCTGGGCCCTGATGTCTGGAGCACATCATGTCTCCCTGGACAGTCACCGTTGGACTTCTTATTCTTCTTATATTCTGTTGACATGTCTATGGATTCCTGGCCCAGCCTCATCCCAGCTTGCCTGTGGAGCCATGAAGAGATGGCCACAGTGGTAGAAAGGCTTGGACTCTGGCTCCCTACCATCCTGTCATGACTGTGTATGCGTCTAAGTCATCTACCAATTCACCTTGGTTTGTTTGTGAAAATGAGCTTAAGGATCATTGCCTTGTTTACTGCACCTGGTGCTTGTCTGAACTCAACAAAGTGGACTATGGACAACAGCTGCCATGTGTAACAATCAGACATGGAAGGAGTATGTACCACCTGTGTCAGAACTCAGCCCCTGACTGGCTAGGTGGCTACCTGGGGTGGAGGGAGCAATGGGCAAACATTCCACTCGTGAGTTATATCCTTTCCTTTCCTCACACCATGACAAAATGCCTGACAGAAGCCACCTGGGAGGGCGGATTTATTTTAGCTCATGGTTCTGAGGGTAAAGTCCATCTAGCAGGACAGCTGCTGTCTGTGTTGGTGGGAACTCACCCCAATGGCTGCATCAACCAGGAAGTAAAGAGAGCAGGACTGGAAGTGGGGTGGGGCTGTAGCCCTCAAAGGCTCACCTGCCCATGACCCACAACCTCCCAAAACCTACTGGGAACCAAGTGTTCAAACACAAGAGCATGTAGGGGACATTTCAGATCTAAACCAGTGCACTTTCTCTGGTTCCAAGAAAGTATGTTTCTAATGTACCACCTTGGGTATCTCTCTGGTCCATGGGAAGGCAATAGTGCTATGGTTATTGGAGACTGCACGGTCCACCAGCCATCCTTCAGAGGGAGAATAGCAACTCCACCATGATCTCTCTCCAGAGGACTTGTCTTCAGATGCAGTGCAGCCCTGTCTTGTGCAATGTTCTTCACTCTTAACTTTGTTTAGTGCATTAAGCTTGGCTTTTCCCAGAGACATTAATGGGCCGTGTTCTCCAGCCTCCCTGTCTGACCCACATCAGGACAACTGCCTGAATTCTCTAACCTACTGCATATGGTCCTAAATGCCTAAGAACAGTTTCTTTTGATTCAAATTATCTCAGAATATGTCTTCTCCTACATCTTGGTGATAAGAAGCAGCAGGAAATTTTCTTCTAAGAGTTAAAAAGGGAATGAGGTAAGCGACATTAGGTCTAACTGAACACATTTACTTTGTTCTTAGCCTGGGCGACATGAGCATCTTTTCAGGCACAATGTGGAAGCTTTGGCATATGCAACACCATGTGAAGGCCCTCAAGCTGTTTTGCTAATGGGTGGATTGGGCCTTGGGGAAGGAAAACAACTTATCCAAAATCTCATAACTAATAAGCTGCAAATTTGAGGTTCCACAAAGGCCATGGGATTCCCAAGCTTGGTGTACTTTCTGTTACAAGCTGCTGGAATTTTCTATGCTTAGCAAAAGGCTCACTTCTTAATTATGAACTGAGTCTTATGTAACTAAACTGCGCATTAGAGGTGGCCCGTTGAGTGCTCTGGTTAAATTGACATTCTCTGTCCTCTGCTTGATTTTCGAATGATTAAACAAAGCTTTTTAAAAATTTATTATTTTTATTTTATGTATATGAGTATATTGCTGTATGTGTGTAAGTGCACCTGTATTGTGCAATGCCTGTGGAGGTCAGAAGAGGGTGTTGGATTTTCCTGGAACTGGAGTTAGGGACAGTTGTTCACCGCCATATGGGTGCTGGGACTCAAACCCTAGTCCTCTGCAAGAGCAGCTAGTGCTCTTAACTGCTTGAGCCATCTCTCCAGGCCTATGATTAAACAAAGCTTTAAAGAATAAAACTCTATTTTATTAACTTGTTTTTGTTTCTGAACAAAATTAGCTCTTGTTAGCTGATCTTTTCTTCAATTGTGCTTTTTTTTTTTTGCACTGTAAACTAATGTAGCTTTCAAACATTTTCTGCCTCCTCAATTTTCTGTTGAAACACATTTTAGTTGTGTCCAGCTGGTGCTGGCCAGTTTGCCAGCTAATGGCCGGGTTGATTTTCTTAGTTTATAAATGGGAAAAAGAAGCAAGCTAAGCATGCTGGTTTGGGAGCCCAGGTTGGTCTTTATAATCAGACAGCCCTAGGGGCTCACATCTCAGTTTCCTCATCTGTCAGATGGGAAGAGTGATAGCAGATAACTGGTAAGAGTGCCCTGGAGATTAACTGTACCACCTTGGTAAAGAGGCAGTGTGAACAGACGCCTTTACCATGAACTCTGGGCTTGAATCTTAGCTCCTGTGCACAGCGGCGACTTACTCAGATGCTCTGTACCCAGATGTCCGTATCTGTATGCTGTAGATACTGGCAATTCCTATGTTCCAACCCTTGTGAAGGTGAAATGAATGCAGTTAAATGAATGAATGACTGACTCATCTGGACACACCATGAGTGGGCAGGAGGGTTGGCACCAGAATCCAAACTTCCTGTCAGGAAGCTCTCGCTCCTCATCTCTAGACATCTCCAGAAATGGTTGTCAGTGCTTCTTGCCCCAGAACTCTGGGTGAGTGTCATGAATATGATGGAAAGGCAAACCTCACACCCAAAATTTAAGGCCTTTCACTTGGGCCTGCACAGGGACACTTGCGGACCAAGGAAGTCCAGATGCTATTAATATGGATTGCTCTCAAAGAATTTAAGTCTTAAACTGTGAGATAGATAAAAAGCCACACAAACATGCTACACAGTAAGAGTTGGTCTGTCAGCTTAACTGCCAACTGGAAAAAGATATTCATTCAAGCAGTGGTTGAATAATTGTCTCCCAAAGCGTCTAATCCTGATTCCTAGAGCCTGTGCATTCTCTTATACGGAAAGTGCGCGCATGCAGGCCCATGAAGGGCTTTAGCATAGGAAAATGATTTCAAATGGGCTCTAAGTATAAAGATAAGGAGATTAGACCCAGAAGAGGAGGCCATGATGAAGCTGTAAGCCAAGGGCAGGCAGCCACTAGAAGCAAGACGAGGCCAGTAACAGTTTTCCCTAGAGCCCCCAGCAGTAAGATCGCCCTGCCACACCTTGATCCCGATCAGTGGGCTGATTTCTGACTTCTGGCCCCCCAGAACAAGGGAGAATAAGTTTGTTGCTCATAGCCACCAAATTTGCACCCATTTGTTTCAGCACCAGGGGAAGCTGATACAGCATAGTTTAAAGTTGGATCTACAATGAATGGATCTTCCTTAGGTCTGATTGGCTGGCTATCTGGGGTATAACCATCCCCAGATAAAAGGCATACTAAGACTCCTTTTTATAAACCATTTTATTATTTTTATTTTATGTGTACTGCCTGCATGTGTGTAAGTACACTCATGTCGTACAATGCCCATGGAGGTCAGAAGGAAGGTGTTGGATTCCCCTGAAACTGGAGTTACAGATGGTTGTTAGCCAACAAGTGGATGCTGGAAATTGAACCCAGGTCCTCTGCAAGAGTAGCCAGTGCTCCTAACTGCTGATATACATCTCTCCAGGCCCTAAGACTCTTTTTATTTTTTATTTTTTGTCTTTTTGAGACAGGGTCGCCCAGTAGCCCCAGCTTGCCTGGAACCCATTATCTTTATGTGGACCAGGCTGGCCTTGAACTCACAGAGATCTGCCTGCCACTGCCTTCCAAGTGTTGGGATTAAAGGTGTGGACCACCACGCCTACTCTAAGATTCTTTTTTAACAACTACAAAAGACTGCTGAGGTCCACCACTCGGTGGTTGAAAAGCATCAAAACTTTGAACATACCTTTCCATCCCACATCTTTCTGAATAACGGAGGAAGGTTCTAGAAGGAAAGAAGCCAGGGACATGAAGCAGTCTGCATTTGGCAGGAACCTGGTCTCACAACTTTATATAAAGTTAACTCTGTTGGGAGTTGCGTAGAAATTTTCATAAGCTATGTTTTGAAGAGATGAGCTATTTTTTCGGTTCATAGAAAAACTGAACAAAGAGCACCTGGTTCCCAGATCCTTCCCAATCCAACCACATGGCTTACCTTATTTCCCCATGTAGGTTATTATTTTACACACCTCAGAGTGATTACTTATATTATAAAATCGCTTCAGTGTGTGTGTGTGTGTGTGTGTGTGAGAGAGAGAGAGAGAGAGAGAGAGAGAGAGAGAGAGAGAAAGAGAGAGAGAGGGAGAGAGAGAGTGCGAGCGTGTTTGTGCATTTTATGGTAGGTTAACTAGGGATCAGTCTTTTTCCTCTAGGTCATAAAAATACAACCATCAAATCTTTTCAACACACAATAGCAGCCTCAAGCCAGAACAGGGTGTTGTGCCAACTGCTGGCTGTTCAGCTCAGAGTCCTGAGATGCAACTCCATGGCCATCTTAGGACCTCTTGATGGGATTCTTGAAGGTGTGAGATGAATTGGATATGTGGGTCCACTGGTCCCTAGTTCACGCCACCTAGTTACCTAAGACCCCCACCCTGTGAATCATTGCTGTGACATCTCCCTGGCTTCCTTATTGAGACCACTAACTCGCCTTGGACAGCGTGGTAGGGTTACCAGCTAGGAGACCTCTCACCCCATGGCCTTGTACGAAGAAACCATCTTTCTTGCCAGCATCTGAACAGTGTCTCTTGCTGATGACAAGCTGGACCCATGGGTTATTTTGGCATGCTGAAGCCTGATACTTAATATTGACTTTTAGAATGACTGTACACTTGGTTCTCTTTTCTTCTCTGACTTTAATGTTGACCACACGACCTTTAACCCCATTGATTCCAGCTTACTACCCTCTTTTGGCTCAGGCTGGCCCCAATCCTCCCATAGACATGGTTCTCAAAGCAACCTTTACAAGATGAGAGTTGAGACCCCACCAACTTTACCAGCAAGCTTTAATGGAGCATCCACTAACCCCAGGACTTTATGACATCCATGGGAAGCTCTTTGTCCTCACAGAGCTCCGGTGAGCTCACTCCTGAAGGGTCTTCAGTGGCAGTGGGCCAGAACCAAGCTCCACAGTAGACAATAAAGACTGTACAGACAGCAGTTTCATCACTTTGTGGAAGAAACGCCCTTAAGAAAATTTCCCAAGACAGTAATTCTCCCATCTCCGTACTTTGTTGGTTAGTGCCTTCCACTTCATCACATTCACCTTTTCAATCCCTTTGTTAATTAAGTCACTGATGAGTATATACTGGTAAGCATAGATGCTGTCGATGGTCTGCAAAGAAAACTCTTTCTTGTTGTTGATAATAAACCATTTCACAGAAGACCAGGCTGACTCTAAGGGGTTCAGGTAATTATAAGGGGAAGGCAGAGTGAGTAGCTCATGGCCATAGGACTTGGCCACCCCTGGAGAACACATGATGCTTGTTAGATTAATGACGCTTGTTGGAACACAGGACTGGACCTCCCCCTCCTTGTCCACCTTGGGCTCCATCTCATCCTGCCACCTCTTCCCTTTGACCACGATGGCACACTTCCCATACACCTTCTTTACCACATCGCAGAACTCAAAGAAGAGGCTGTCTTCCTGTCTGACACAGAGATCGTCTCTCAGGAACATCCGGTACTTCCAAGGCACCCATCCTTGACTGCCACCAGCATGCAAAAGACACCAGGTTGGAGTCTGCATGTAGCAGCAATCACTGAAATCTCCCCCAGTGACCAGACTTTCTGGGATCTCAGTCTCCCCCAAATACACCACCTTATATCCATCAAATTGTAGGGTCCGCAGGGTGTTCAGGTACTGCAGACACTGCTTCCTCCTGGTGCTGTCGAACTGAGTTCTGATAATGATGTTCCTTAAAAGAGGGCTTGTGACATGAGCCATCCTGGCTCTCCAAGTGGCCTACATGTATCCATCTGGGGAGATCTGGAAAGTCAATGATGATGATGTCATAAAGGGCTTTCTCACAGCTGTTCCAATTCCTTAGCTACACACCAGGCTCAAAACTTGATAGATACATACTCAGAACACTAATCACAGGGAATGCTATCTTGACCCACTTCTGTACTGGACCTTTTAACAGTGATGACAAGTTTCTGACTCCTACCCATTTGGTTGTTAGGATGGAAAGAAATGTCAATATTCATTTGAGAACTGCAATGTATGTGTATGTGTGTATGTGTGTGCATTTATGTGTATGTTGTATGTATATGGATGTGAATAGATGTGTGTGTATATATGTATATGTTGTATGTGTGTATGTGTGTATGTATGTAGGTATGTGCATATATTGTATGGGTATGTGTATGTATGTGCTTATGTGTGCTTGTGTATATGTGTATATGCATGTATGTGTTTGTATGTGTGTATGTATGTATATGTGTATGTATGTGTGTGGAATCTATGCCACTTGCTTGTTTAGTTGCACACTCAAGAGTCTCTTCTCCAGGTGGCTGAAGAGGGGTTCAGAAAAGAGCAAAAGAAACAGCATGCACGATCATCCGTCATAGCAACTGCCGATAATTGAGCTAATTTAATACATTACCTGAAAAGCACTTAATCTGTTATCTTTTGTGAGACAGGGTCTTGCCGTGTAGCCCTTCCTGGCCCAGTACTTTTTGTAGCCCAGCTGGCCTTGTACTTTTGTCAATCCTCCTGCTTCAGCCTCTGAACGCTGGGATTGCAGCTGTGCACCACCACAAACAGCAGCAATTTAAGTTTTCAGCACTCAAGGAAAAATGACAGTTGCTTTATTTTCTATTAGCTGCTTTAATTTCCTTTGTGCGTCCTTGTCTTCTAATCAAAGCTAAAGACAATCCATGAATGTACCTGAGGCCCCCCGCCCAGTGTGAGGTGGGCAAAATGACTTGGTGAGCCCTTTGTGCCTCTGTTGGATGGATGAGGGGCTACTTCCTCTATTCATATCCGCCAGGGTTTTCTTGGGGCTGAAATTTAGGGAAGTCCAGACAATGAGACACCATCATAGCTAAGTTCATATGAAGCATGTGGTCACCTTGTGATCTCTCCCAGAAGTCAGGAGCAACAGGTTTGCATCATAGCTAAGTTCATATGAAGCATGTGGTCTCCTGTGAACACTCCCAGAGGTCAGGAGCCACAGGTTTGCATTGATACTTGTCTTGTGGTCATTTTCTTGATGGATTTTTCTTTTAGTCATGGAAACCACTTTTTAGAACAAATTTGATGTGGACGTCAACTATGTGATGTGACCCTAAGTATTCAGAAATGATAATGGTGGTCCCATAATCCCCCGTTCAGCCATTCCACTTGCTTACTCTCCTACTGGAAGGGACCTTATGGCCTGAATTGGTAGTAAACGATTTAGCAGAATGAAGTCAACTCTTAACTCAATTCTCTGTTTCTCTTATCCAAGTGTAAGTTATGGATATGAGAAACTTGTTTGGAAGTATGCGAGAATATACATTATATGTTTTAAATATGTGCAAATATACGTATTTGGTTATATTTTCACATAGAAACAACATGAGAATAAAACACTAAAACTGATCATTTATATGAGGAGGGCAAGAACTGGAAGAAGGAGAAAAGGAAGAACTCTCCATGTCATTGACTGTTTTGCTTAATAGATTTCTTTAGCTTTTATAAATGAGCACAGTTATATTTAGATCGCAATTTAAAAAAAAAACTAACATAAGGAAAAGTTCTAAAAACAAACAAACAAACAAACAGAAAACATACAAATATGCTGGGGTGGTAGTGCATATCTTTAATCACGGCACTCGGGAGGCAGAGACAGCTGGATCTCTGTGAGTTCGAGGCCAGCCTGGCCTACATAGCAAGTTCCAGGCCAGCTGGGGCTACAGAGAAATCCTGTTTCAAAAAGACAAAAAAAAAAAAAAAAAAAAAAAAAGAAAAAAGAAAAAGAACTAAGTTTTACTAAGCTTTTTACCATGTCACCGACAAAATCTCACAGACCAGAGCAGTATGGTACAGGCACCAAAACAGACCCAGTTATACCATTCCTTGGTATGTACCAGTAGGAATTAAAGGCAACATATAATAAAGATACCTGCACACCCTGTGTTTATTATGGAACTATTCATAATAGCCAAACTGTGGAATTGGCCTAGGTGTCCATAAGTGGATGAGTAGATAAGGAAAATGTGTATGTATACAATGCAATGTTATTCATCCATTAAGAATGAAATCCAGGGGTTGGAGAGATGGCTCAGTGGTTAATAGCACTGGCTGCTCTTGCAGAGAACCCAGGTTTGATTCCCAGCACCCACATGGTGGCTAACAATCTTAGCTTTAATTCCAGGGGATCCGCTGCCTTCTTCTGACCTTTGTGTGCACTGCATGATATGGGTGCACTTACAATATGCAGGCAATACACTCATACACATAAAATAAAAATAATAAAATACAAATAAAGAGAATGAAATTAGGCTGATGAGACGGCTCCACATTTACAGGTGCCTGCCACCAAGCCTGGTGACCTGAGGTCTATCCCCAGGACCCACATGGTGGAAGGAGAAAACCGGCTCCTGAGAGTTGTCCTCTGGCTGCCACACATGCTCCTTGGCATGTACACATACCTGTACACATACACAAACACATAAATAAATAATAAACAAAAAATAAATAACAATATGGTTTGAAGGAAATAAATAGAACTGGAGATGATCATGTTAAGTGAAATGAGCTGGACTCAGGAAGGCGGGTATCACATTGTCTAATGTGTGTGGAACAAAAACAAAAGACCTGAAAACAGAGGCTGCATGTTGGGGAACAAGAGAGCGACTGGCAGGGAAGGTGGTTGTAGATGTGGGTGGGTGGGTGGATACAATCACAGTATTTTATATATAGATGTAGAACAATGTCATAAGGAAGTCCATTGCTTAGTATAGCAGATATATGTTAATAGAAAGTAAATACACAAGAGAAAAGTTGACCAATGTTGAGATGAATTTGTCCTTCCCATAACAAAAATGGGGATGTTTTCCCTCCCTCCGTTCCTGCATTCCTTCCTCTCCTTCCTTCCTTCCTTCCTTCCTTCCTTCCTTCCTTCTTTCTTTTCTCTTTCCTTCTTTCTTTCTTTCTTTCTTTCTTTCTTTTTTTCTTTCTTTCTATTTCATCATGAAACCTTGAATATCTCAAGGTTCCAGGATGTAGTAACTCTTGGAAAGATCACAGTCTCTACCTTCAAGGTTGGCACCCACCATCTTGTAAGAAGAGCCCATGGAATTGCAGCAGAGGAGATGGATCTTAGGGGAATAGAAAGCTCTAGAAAGGAGGCCTCAGGAAAGGGAGGTTGTGTGGCTGCTGCCTTCCAGAGAGGAAATGGGGGTGAATCCCAGCACGATACCCCAGCTGAGATAAATCTTTGAGGAGTCCCTGGCTTTGTCTCTCCTCATGTCCGTGTGGGCACTATGACAAGGGCACTGAAGAGGTGAGACACTTAGAAAGATCTTTTGCTTGACCACATTTTAATCAGCTTCCTGAAACTTTAATTAGGTCCATCTATGTACTCTCTTGTGAAATCTGAGCAAGAACCCCAGCTCCCTCCCTCTTATGTGGTCAGGTTCCTTATACCCCATGGTGATGTTCAACTCTCCTAGACTTGTTGGGGACCCCTGCTGTTTAGGGTAGCAGTCTCCCCATGTCGGATAGCCAAAAGCTGGCTCGGCTCGAATGCCCATCACAAGATACATGCCCTCCAGCACAGGAGCTACCAGGTTTTAATCAGGCTGTTGTCTGATAGCCTGATAGAAGTCCACCGCCCTATGTAAATGAAGCATTCCAGGAGTACCTATCAGCTAAGGCTTCTTTTACGGTCTCCACACTATAAATAGTCCTAGTTTTACCCCAAAAAAGCTGGAGCTGGAGCTGAATCACTGAGATCTGAGCTGAGTCACTTGTCTGAAGCTGTAACAGTAAAATCCTGTGATCCAGTCTGGGGTGGGGGGCGGCTATCCTTCTGTCATCGACTCTCGAAGACCCTGCTTTCCCCGTTTCTCGCACCTCCCCTCCTGACCTGGTGGCCAACAGGTCTCGAACTTAGAGAGAGAGTGCATGGTGGAAATTGAAACGGAACCCAACCGGGCAGCTGACAGCAGTCCTACGGTAGCAGAGACCCACGGCAACGTGGTGCACGAAACCCGCTCACCCCAGTGACGGAGAGCCAGGGGCCCGAACAGCAGACCCGCGGACCCGCACTCCAGCGACGTGTGGGAGACTGGCACCACGCCCAACAGCTGGCGCCCTGAGATCCCCGCCTGCGCATATAGACTGTCCTCAGCAAGAATTCTGGGAGGTTGGTTTAGCCAGAAAACCCCCTATTCCTGATTTTTCGGTCCTAGTCATTTTCCAGCCACTGACCCCATACTGGCCCTTTGGTTTAAAGTCCCACTTGTCTAAGATGTGCTCAGGCTGAAACCAATCTCTTCCCATTGCAAAAACTGCAGTATAGTAATGCCATACCAAGAGTGTACTCTCCTCCTTGAGTAAAATCTTCCTCTAAAAAGTGTTTTTCAGGGCTGGAGAGATGGCTCAGCGGGTAAGAGCACTGGCTGCCAGAGGACCTGGGTTCGATTCCCAGCATCCACATGGTAGCCAACAACCTTCTGTAACTCCAGTTCCAGGGGATCTGATGCCCTCTTCTGACCTCTTCAGGCATTGCCCAACACAGGTGCACTTACACGCAGGCAATACACTCATACACAGAAAATAAAAATAATAAATAAAATTTTTTTGAAAAATCTTTTTTAAGGTATCAAGTAATATTTCTCGGATACTTTCCTAGACTTCAGAGAATATGAAGCTGACAGTTCCAGAGGGGACCAGTGTCCTCACATGGAGGTGGTGCTGGGGATTGGGCTGAACAGAGAGAGACACAAAAGTGA